CGGATTTGGGCTGTACTCAGCAAGCGCAGTACAGCTTCCAACTCAGATCTGAAAAAAATAGTGGATGGTTGTTTTCTGACTGGTTGGCAGACCGCCGACCGGTCGGCCCTACTGGTCGGCTGCAATACGGTCGGCGGTCGGGGTCGGCGGCTGGCAGGGATGCAACCATAATTATGTATGATTATTATCATACTACGTCTTCGTAGTATATTATCACACTATTGGTAATTTGGTAGTGTATTTCTCTACTTGACAACTTGTGCTTTTCCAAGTTTTTCTTATGCTCGCCGGAGTTGGAAATTTTGGTCACGTAGATCTCGTATTTCACCTAAATTTGTTGGTTAGTCCCCATATTTTTTAATCTTACTGTTTGCTCATCCTCCTTGTTGTTTGTTGCTTGCTTGAGTTCTGCTCAGGTCTTGGGGATTCTTGTGCCCAGTGCATACGCCAGATGGATCGCCATGTGGCTTGCTAAATCACCTCACAAAAGCATGCTGTATGTCGTTCTCTTGCCCACGTTCCTCTTCTTTTTCTTTTCGCCTCCTCCCTCCCTTCTCCTCGTCCTCCCTCTCTCCTCCTCATGCCTTTCCCCTCTCCTTCGCTCTCCCTCTCTAGCAATGATCAAGCTACTTTCGACGTCTCTTTTTACCTCTCTTTCAAACTTTGCTCTGTTCCCATATCCACCTCCCTGTGAGATAATACCCCACTCTCTCCTTCTTTCCACTCGCTCGGCGCTCACTCGCCCTCTCTTCGTCAAGAATTGCTTAGGAAAAGCCAAGGACCTCTCTTTCTACCTACAATTCTAATGGAGTCAATCCAGCCGCAGGTTCCCCTATGGGTAACTCGTTAGAGCTTCACCCCGATGATGCATGTCACTGATTCTGACATCCGGGTCTCTATGATCAACGATGCAAAAAGCATGCTGCGGACATCATCTCTTTCTACCTTCCACTTCCGGTGATGCACGTCACTCTCTCCAGATTTCCAGTTAATAACTTAATATTGTCCTCCTATCACTCGTGCCTCGCTCGTGCCTCTGTCTCACCCACTTCATATCCTGTTCTCTCTCAACCATGAGGCCAGCGCGTACATGTTCTTTCCTACGCTTTCTTCGTCAATTCGTTATGGGTCCATGTCTAAGTAAGCAAGAAGTCTGCAGGGTGCAGAAACAAACAGGAGACCAAGCAGCAGTACATTTTTGCTTTTTTTAAAAGTTTTTCATTAGTTAAAAAAAAAAAAAAACAGTAAAAAAAGAGATGCACTCAGAGTGCCACAAACAGTGAATAGTACTGAACACGATGCAATTGACTCAGAGTCAACTTCCTTCAAAAGTACACATAGCCCTGTACTTTCCACAAAGGATGAATCCCCTTGTACTCTCCACGAAAGACGTATGGCCCTGTGCTTTTCACAAAGGTCGAATGGTCTAATAGTACTTTGCATTACATAGTCTCGTACTTTCCGGAAAGGACGGATGGCCTCACTTTCCACAAAGCACAAAGAGCCTCGTACTTTTCACAAAGGACGAATGGCCTCCTACTCTCCACAAACCATGAATAGTCTCGTACTTTCCCGAAAGGATGAATAGCCTTGTACTTTCTACAAAGAGTGAGTGGCATCATACGGAGAATAGTCCTGCAAAGGAGAATAGTCTTGTACTCTTTCCAGAGGTCAAATAGTGTACGGAGAATAGTCCTGATGAACAGCCTTGTACTTTTCGCAAGAGATGAATAGCCTCGTACTTTCCAGAAAGGAGAATAGTCTTGTACTCTTTCCACAGGTGAAATAGCTCCGTAGTACGGTGCACAGGGCAAATAGCTTGATACTTTCCTCAAGTCAAAGAGATTTTTTGTACTTTATACAAGCTGAATAGCCGTATACTTTCCACAAGCCAAATAGCTTTGAGTGAAAGCCTCTCTTTGTGTGGCGGGCAAATAAAAACTCAGGGGTAAGAGTACTCTGCGGTGTAAAGCCATGCTAAAAAATGACAGCTCTGCTGGCAATTGGAGAAAGGGATAAATGATGAATCTTTATGCTCCAAAAATGCATGGTTTATGCGAACTGTTTGTGTTGACTGTTGAACTGTTCATTTCAACTTTGTCGCTAAAAATAGTAAAAATGTCATTTAAAAATGACAGCTCTGACACTGTTTATGTTAATTGTTCATCTGGACTTGTGTGCGATTTGACCGTCAACTTTGGAGTTGCTGACCCCTTGCTGGTGTGAAGAGGTGTGTGTCAGATACCGCTAATATGATCAGATAAAGTCCGATGAAACAACTACCTCAATGAGCATTGTAGTCTCCAGCTCTCAGATATCTTGGCCTTGTCAAGGCAATCGGGCCCAGAATTGGCCTCTGTTAAAAAAAGGTTGGTAACTTGGTACTGAAAAGCGATGTGCACTGCTTGCCCTCTGTTAAAATCGGAACCATACACAGAAAGATCAGCATGGCCGCTGCACAATTTGTTCGTTTTTTCTGAGCATGGTGTGAAACAAACTCGCACTGCTCTGCACCTTTCACACACACACATGCACACACACACACACACACACAGAGAGAGAGAGAGAGAGAGAGAGAGAGAGAGAGAGAGAGTATGAGCAACTGGATAGGTGTAGATGCATGACGTTGGATAGGTTGAGGCGATGAGAACTGAATTGCACGGATGCATGGCAGAGAGGACACATATCTGCACACAGAGCAGACAGCGATGGATTAACACATCTTCGCACGTTGGATATTTGTCCTCTCTGCCATGCACCCGCATCTCTCCACAATTGTGGAAATATTGACGTTTAGTGAGTGGAGAGATGCAGGTGCAAGGCAGAACCTCAGAGAGGACAAATATTTCCACACGCAGAGCAGACACCAAGCAGAGCGGACAGCAGTGGAGGGACACCAAATGAGTTCAAACTTCAAATTGATAGGACAGATGGGGAACATGCTTTGCACAATTAGTAGGGATGGACTTTCCGTCCTTTCCACATCAGACACATAGATAACGTTGATAAAAAAAAAAAAAAAAAAAGAAGGATGGGAAGAGCATTCTTCTTGCTGGCGTCTTCTTCATCCAGTGCTGAGGGGTCTCTTTGGCCGCGGCCGCTGACTACAGCAGGCATCCACTTGCGCTCTTTTTCTATAGTTATTGTTGTGTTTTGTACATCAGCCCACTGATCCGTTTGCGGTTGTGGCCTTTGCTTGCTGTTTCTGTTTGCAGCTGTTATTACAGAAGTGCTTGATGATTATCAGAAGGTTCAGGCGATCATATCCTCCGTGCTGTCTACCATTGGAATGATTCCTTCTGTGCCAATGGTGGCTCATCCCCCGCCGCCGGCATATATTACTGTGTTCCTTGATGGGAAGGTATTGGGATGCATGCGATCAAATGCGGTCCCTGCTGCAGCGGGATATTTACGGCTCCTGAAGCTCTTGCCGGATTCAGGGGTAAGCAGTTCAAAGCACAAGCAGGTAGATACTCAGTGAGGGAAAGGGGATGGAGCGAAGGGGGAGAGGGCGGGGAGTGGAGCGGGCTGGGGGGGGGAAGGATAAGTTAGGGTGGGGAGGGAGGGGGGGGGGGGGGGGGGGGGGATAAGTTAGAGGGAAAGGGGGGAAGAGGGGTTGGTTAAGGGGGCCCAAAGTCCTTCAATGTATCAGGGGAACAGGGAGCAGCAAGGGGTAAGGGAGAGCAGAGACAAGGGGGTTAAGTTGGGGGAGGAAGAAGGGATCAGGGCGGGCAGAGCAGGGCACAACAAACCATGCTGGGAGGGACAGGGAGGGGAATTGAAAAATAATGTGGAGAGAGAGAGAGAGAGAGAGAGAGAGAGAGAGAGAGAGATTTACGCAAAGCTGCCGTCTTACTTATGAATGCATGATGTGGGGTGAGGGTGGGTAAACGGGAGGGAGACAAGGAAACGCCCCAAGTTTTGTAGCATATGATTCAAGTTCAGTCAACACATCCTTGCTTCCATTCTGCAGTGTACTTACGCTACCGTCTTCACCCGAATTGAACGCCCTGTCATTATGGCTGAAAATTGTACCAAATACAGCTATAATGACCGGCCGTTCTATTCGGGTGAAGACGGTAGTTACGTCGCCTTTGCGCATGTATATTAAGGGCACGTAACTATGTGACCACTGTGTTACACTTCGGAAACTGGGTTTGCACAACTTTGCACTGGATAGTTGGACAAACAAACTCCATAAGGTTGAAGTTTGAACAATTTACAAGGTGCAATTATGCAATAGTGGACACCTATAAGGCTAAGCAAACAAAGAATCAGATTTTTCAGTCAGACTCCATAATCTTGCTCAACTTTCCCTTCTCAGAAACAACATGGACTCGACAACGATTTATTTTTGGCGTGGCAATGTGGCGTGGTTGCAGCACACACAGACACTTAGACACTTAGACACAGAGAGAGAGAGAGAGAGAGAGAGAGAGAGAGAGAGAGAGAGAGAGAGAGAGCAGCATAAAGTCCGACGAAACAGTCTGGTACAGTCATGCTTTTTTTGAGTGTATAGCGAATATGACAACACACACACACACACACACACACACACACACCCACACACACACACACCCACACAGAGAGAGAGAGAGAGAGAGAGAGAGAGAGAGAGAGAGAGAGAGAGAGAGAGAGTAGCAGAGTTGTGTACGGATTTCATTTGTCTCTGCTCAATTGCTAGCATCTTTATTTATTTTCTATCTTCAATCCGGCCCTCTGCTGTCGGCATCTTTACCCTTTGTTCACTGGCATGATTTTCAGTGTTTTGTCTCCGATTAACAGTAAATCCACCCCTGTTCAGGTTCCAGCCCATCTTGCGGTCGGCTATGTGCCATACGTGGAGGGGAGCACCTACCCAGGATTGTTTATGTGGATGCAGCCGGCACGCATGGTTCGCCCAGTCAAACAGCTTGCAGCAGATGCAGAGAACAACATTGAGCTCATTGGCCCATTCGAACAGGTAAATGTTAAAATATCAATAATTATTTTTGAATAATAAATTAATAATACGTTTAAAAATTAAAAATTAATATCAAGATCTTACCCCGAGACTATAAGTGGAATGATCTGCTCACTTTGTAAAGTTGGGTATGTAGCATTGTTTGCTGGTTTAGTGTCTTTACTAGACTCTCTGAGTCTCTGGACTCTTTAGTATTTAGTCTTTGCACAACCTTTCTCCTATTTCATCTTGTTATGGATTGCAGTTCAAATAACCTGTTGATCTTTCTATAACCTGCTCATCTTCTGTTCTCAGATGAGCAGGTTATAACTTATTAGATTATCTAATTTTTGGACCTTCTTAATGTCTGCCTCTTTTCTCAACCTTTCTGTGATTGTGTGTGTGCGTTGTCATGTTCATTATACAAAACTCCACAAAAGACACAGATGTAAGGACGTGCCAAACACGGACTGACAGACACAGCTGATTTCCTGAGTTTTGCCAATGGAACGTATGGTGCCTTGCTGAGTTTTCCGCTTGTGTTTTGCTGAGTTTTCTAAGTCTGTGTGTGTGCGTGCTTGCTGTTCTGCGTGCCTGTGCAATGACTTGCTGTTTCTGCCGCCTGTGACCCGTTGTCTCGAGGCTGCAAGATAGGTAGGTTAGATTCGTTATTTTGTTTGGCTGAGGGCTAACCGAGAGACCTGCCTGTAAGGAAAATTCGTGAGGGACATATCTGCAAATCCGGGAGAATATAGGCCCGCACTAACTAGAATTTCCTACAGCTACCCTAACTGCGAATAGCAGGCCCGGGCTACCCCTAGGACGGACAGACCCTATTGGCCTATGTCCTATAGCCTATAGCCGGGTAGGGAGAGGCCGAGAGGCCGAAACTGAAACGGTACCGGTCGGTCCAGTCAGTCTGGTCTAGGTCCAGGCTAGGGTAGTGTAGTTCTATAGATAGATAGTAGACATCAGTTCGAGACACACGAAGTGCTGCGCCCTTGGAGTGGTGACAGCTTCCGCGTTGGGGATGACAGACATAGCCGGACCTGCGGAGCGTCGGCCATAGCTGGGACCTACGTTGTTCTCTGACAGCACGCGGGGCTGTTCAGAGATCTGGGCTATCTGAAGTCTGCTGGAGGCGAGAGAAGTTGGTCCCTGCTGAACCCTCCTCAGGAGTAGGGTCTCAGGGTGTTTGGCGCTGCAGCCATAGCTGCAGCTTTCTTCCTCAGAGCTCATCTTTATCAGGAGAGGTGGCGCTGCTACAGACTTCCACCCGGGGAGTCCTCTGGCACTTCATCACCATCAAATACCGTGGCGCTGGTCTTCTTCTTCATCCTCTCAGAGGCGCTTGGCCTCAGAGGCCTGTTTCAGGGTGGCGCTTCCCTCTGGAGCCAGTTATTGGGTGGCGCTTGATGTTTCAGGGACTCAGGGGTAGTAATATCGGTTACTCAGGGTTGGGGAGTGAAGCGCTGTTCGTCCCTGAGCAGCACACCATGGTTTTTTACCATGGTTCTGGGATTATTCTGACAATTCGAGACTCTGAGTTTAATAAACAGTGTAAATACTGTGTGCGGACTTTCATTGATTCATTGCTTTCCTGGATGTGATCTACTTGGCTTTCCTTTGTGACTGGTTGTGAGGATTCTGTGGAGCGATTTGCACTTTCAGTGTTTTCAGTCATATCGCATGGTCAAGTCTTCCGCTGTGGTTATCTCTCCCTGTGCGGTGTGATACTCCCATCCTCTCCCCTTCCTTCTGTGTATGTATGGGCATACCTGGAAGTCTTATGTGAGTGAGTGTTGGTCTTCTGACAACAAACAACCAGGATCATAACACCTGTCTGTCTGAGTGCTTGTCGGTTTGAGTGTGTGTGTGTGACCCACAAGGGTACTCGTCCGTGCGGGGGTTGGGGCGAAGGGCCGGTGATTACCTGTGGCCATGACATTGAGGGTTGCAGCCGGTAAAACACTCAAGTGGCGGGGAAAGAGCCCCGCCACAATTTGTGCAGTGGAAAAACACTCTAGTAGCAGGTAGGCCAGTACCACAGAAAGTAGAGGTAGATCTGCCGGGTACTCGATGCCGAGCAGAAGACGACAAAGTTGGCAATTTTAGAGGCCCAGTAGTTGTAGGCCAGGTGTAGGCGGGTACCAGTCGAAGTAGTCGGAGTCTAGGGCCTGCACGGGTAATATCAGAGTCTGCAATGATGTTTTGCTCCGAAAGGGAGGAGGTAACGGTTCTTGGAGGCTGTGTGGCCTGGAAGTCGACGCCCAAGAGGCAAGCAGGCTGCTATATCTCCTGGGGGAGCAAAGAGCTCCTCCTCATTGTACAGTGTGCAAGTTTGGCGACACAATGCTTGGAGCGCTGGCTGGAGCAGTGCTGCTGGGGAGTAAGGAGCACCCAGCTCCCCACCTCGGCTATGGTGGAGGAGCACGGGCTCGGAGGAGCACTGACTGGACGGCACTGTGCTTTCTCATGAATGTGTACTTCGAAATTGGCCAGGATCATAACACATGACTGCAGCAGACTGTTCGTCGGCCTTCCACTGACTCATCAGGATGTTGTGTGTGTGTCTTAGACTGTCACTAAAACAACCCCTTTTTCCAACCACATGAGGAGATCCAAAGCTGAAACAGTGCATGTGCGCACACACACACACATGTCTGGTGTGTGTGTGTGTGTGTGTGTGTGTGTGTGTGTGTGTGTGTGTGTGTGTGCGCGTGCGCGCGCGTGTGTGTGCGCGCGTGTGTGAGTGTGGGAGAGAGAGA